GTTAGTAGAGTGTACTGAGTGTAGAGTATAGGAGTATGTATAGAGAGTTCAGTGTAGTTACATTCAGTACAAATGTACTGAAATGAAACCCTAAATTCAGAATATTTTGTGTTCTGTTGTTGTTTATTGACTGAAAATTATGGCAGATTTATTCTTAAAATCAAAATGTGCATGTCTAGAGATTGGGGTGCATACTGTGCATATAAATTGAAAGTGTGCATCAATATGCACAATTGTGCAGTTTGGAACATCCCTGCACATTATATGGTTAAAAGCTAGTTATACAAATAATAATCCACGGGTTATATCTGGTTTCTTTCTAACATCTGTGGAAACATGCGGAGGATGTCCAAGAACCATACGTTCAGATATTTTTTTGGCGCGTCTTTAAATCTGGCAGTGCGTCTTTAAATCTGGTAGTGCGAGATCAAATCTAGCAGTGCGAAATCAAATCTCGCACTGCGAAATCAAATCTCGTACTGCGTCTTTAAATCTAACAGTGCGAGATTAAATCTAGCAGTGCGAGATGAAAATGTAGCAGTGCGTATTTGAATCTGGCAGTGCGAGATTTAATACAATAAAACATAGTCATGTCCCTTCTGAGCCATCGTAGATATTGATGATAGATAGTTGTTTTTTTTTTTTTTCTTTAGGTACGGTGGACTACGCGAAATAAAGCATGCTTTGATGATCAATGACGTGGGGAGTGGGAATTTTTTAAATTATTTACGACTGACATACCGGGTGCCCACGAGATTACTTTCCGGCTGCCATTTTTTTATTTGTTCATCGGTATCAACGAAATTTGGTAGGGTTGATATTCTAACCAAACGCCATTTTTATGCATTTATGACAACTTTTTCTGACTTCCGGTTTCACCGGAAATTACCGAAACTTTTGATTTTCAAATGGCACACCCTGTATATTTTTTGTTTATTGGATTCTACAGATCGTTTTACGTCCTAATGAACCACTTTTAAATCGAGTTTTGTCCAAATTTCGTTTTCAAATTAAATTTCAAGTAGAAAAAGAAATTACCTACAAAAGTAATTATATGAACGAAAATTGAGAAAAATGTCGTAGTGTATTATATCGTTGGATTCGCTTTAAAATACTGTATTTAGTAATGTTATGAAAGTGATATGTTTCTATTCTACTTTTTGAGCTAGGGCAAAAATACTAAAATAATGGAGTTTACAGCCCTCTATCAAAAAAGTTTACAAAGATAAAATTGAGTTTGTATTTTTCTGAAATTAAGTAAAGTATCTAGAGTCATTTTAGGATGATCATGGCACTCTAGTTAAAAAAATAAAATTTAATTTAAAAATAAAATTTGGACAAAAATTGATTCAAAAGTGGTGCATTAGGATGTAAAACGATCTGTAGAATCCGAAAAACAAAAAATATACAGGGTGTGCCATTTAAAAATCAAAATTTGCTGTCATTTCCGGTGAAACCGGAAGTCGGGAAAATTTGTCATAAATGCATAAAAATGGCGTTTGGTTAGAATATCAACTCTACCAAGTTTCGTTGATATCGATAAATAAATAAAAAAATGGCAGCCGGAAAGTGATCTCGTGGGCACCCGGTATAATGTAAGTATTATATTTGTGATTTTGGCAATATAATGCCATATATTATTCCCGCAGGGATTAATGGTCATTATTCCCGCTTGCCCATCAATCACAAAATTTCTCAAATTAAATAAGTAGTACCATGGAAACAATATACCTGAACAAACTCGCGCAGTGCTTGTGTATTTGTATTGAGATGGATGATCAAAAAACGTTTTTGGAAAGAAAATTTAAAATAAATTAATTTGTCGTAAATGAAGTAGAGTATACTACTCGCAATAATGGCTATTATTCCCTCGGAATGTTACTCCCTCGCCGCTAACGCGGCTCAGTTCGTAAATATTCTTCAGGAATAATAGCTATCATTATTGACTCGTGGTATAATCTACTATTATTTTTGTAAATATTCGAATGGCCCACCTGTCGAAGACGTCACCTGGCCCACCGGGATTTTGCCCGTTTGCCCGGTGGGCCAGTCCGACACTGGGGTTGACAGGTTTGAACAGGTGAGTCGATACTAGTAATTTACACCCATCTGTTTAATGTATAAATCATACACCACTCTGTCGCATATTTCCATCCGCACCAAAATTTCGCTTTTCAAGGCTCGCCAACCGTCATTCAGGCCAGTTTTTCCGTAGACAACCCTATATCATCGTGTTCGCAATAAAATAACTTTTTTTTTGATATAAGATTTATTCATTAAACTTTGATATAAAATAATTTTTACCCAATAAACAGATGAGTGCAAATCCTTTCCTATTCGGATCTTAGACTATCAAGACAAAGCTTCAATATTGAGTGTAGAAAATTGATTTTTGATAATCTGTACAGTTTCAGGGCCCTATTGTTGATGTGGATATTTGGCTTCTTTTCTTTTCTTTACCTTATGCTTGAGCCGTAGTGCGTGGTCACTTCCTTTTGATTTTTTTTTTTTTTTTGGGTGGTTATTGGGGTGTTATTGTATTGATTGATGTTTGGTTCATATACTGGGGTTGTTATTGACATGTAGCGGATTAGGCAATATTATTATTATTACTATTTTTTTTAGCATAAGTTATGAATTTAGCGTTAAATCTCGTTGCACATACAGGTGTTCAGTCACCTAGGTGTAACTTTTACATTCCTATTAGACTTAGGAGTATTTTATTGTTATGTACCTAATCAAACAGTTCAAATAATAGTAGATTATACCACGAGTCAATAATGATAGCTATTATTCCCGAGGAATATTTACTAACTGAGCCGCGTTAGCGGCGAGGGAGTAACATTCCGAGGGATTAATAGCCATTATTGCGAGTAGTATACTCTACTTTATTTACGACAAATTAATTTATTTGAGATTTTTAATGAATAAATTTCATCCATCTCAATTCTCAATACAAATCCACAAGCACTACACGTTTGACACTGACACTTTTGAGGAATAATGACCATTAATCCCGCTACTCGTCATTATTCCCTGCGGGAATAACATATGTCATTATACTGCCAAAATCACAAGTATAATCCTTACATTATACATTAGTCGTAAATAAAGTAGTATTATATTATATTATTATTATCTCGGAGTTGCAAAATTTTCGAAAAAATTTCTGATACACGCCAACTATAATTTGAAGGGGGATGAGTTTTTATGCAAAATTCACCTCTCGGATTCCAACCCCCCAGCCCCAAGAGCCACCTCCTTGACAGTTGAAAATTGACTTTTTTGCTACTTTGACAGGCTGTAAAACATAAACGGTTAATTTTTTGAGGAAAACCAATCTTACATTCTTGTCTTAGATTTTTATAAACTATCATTTGACATCAACTTTGAATTTAATCCATGATCAAAAATTCCGGTTAAAAATTTAATCTCCGGTTAAATTCAAAGTTGGTGTCAAATAATAGTTTATGAAGATCTAAGATAGGAATGCGATATAGGTTTTCCTCGAAAATTAACAGTTTAGGTTTAACAGCTTGTCAAAGTAGCAAAAAAGTCAATTTTCAACTGTCAATATTTCCAAAAAAGTTGAGCTTAGGGATTAAAATTTAGTACCAAATTGTATGGAATTGAAAACCATCCAAAATGATGTATCACTTAAGATTTTCTAGGGGTTGGCTCTGGGGGCTGCGGGGTTAGAAGGAGAGAGGTGAATTTTGCATAAAAACTCATTCCCCTTCAAAGTATACTTGACATGTTTCAGGTATTTTTTCAAAAATGTTTCAACTCCGAGATAATAAGGGTGGTAGTAAGTTTTAAAATAAACACCCTGTGTGTTCTATTGGAAAAAATCGGATTTCGGTCAATATCTCGAAATCGGAGCCAAATAGAAAAAAACTGAGGACGTCACAGAGTTCTACTTACAAAAGTGCTTCTAGAAAGACTTTACGGAAATCACTTATTTTCATAAACAAAAAAGCTATGACGGTTTCACAGTATTGCTCAAAATCTAGTTAATCGGTTGAAGATATCAAAATGCGGTTTTGCACCAATTATGATTTCATGAAATTTGAGCCCCAGAGTGGTAAGTCTATTTTTTTCTATCTCTAAAAATAAAAGGTGTTTCCATAAAAAAGTGTCCAATTTGGACCACCCTGTACAGTGTGTCTCATTTTGGTTGTACTTAAGGGATATCTCAGTTGCTGTTGGAGTTAGAAGGATGCGATTTTTGTAAGCGTTGGCTTCTTTTCTGTCAACAAAATTGTCATCGTCCTTTCCGTTTTTCAAATACAAGAGGTGTTTTTGAAAATGTTGCATTTTGGGACACCCCTTGTATCTTGGTTCTACCATAAGTCATCGAAAACGGGTTCTTATAGATCTTTCTACGTAGATTCCAGTGGAGAAGTCAGTTTCTCTCTAGAAGTGATGAAGTTTTTAAATTATGAACCAAACATACGTTTTTTCAAATAAGACACCCTGTATATAAACACTTTGACTGCCATGTGTATATTAAGGTATACACAGTACCCAACCGCTTTATATTTTAATTTCTATTCGACATTACGAGTTTTGACAACATATCAAGTTCGAAAAACTCTCTTATCTCTCTCTGCAAATCAATGTTTAATTTTTCTGGATCGTTACAGTACCTCACAGGACATCAAACAAAATAAAATCTAAATTCTAAATTTACCAAAATTTTCAGAAGGTTTAAGTTTTGGATTCAATCAGAAAATGTAATGGGAAATGGTAACTATACAGGGTGAAAAGTTGAATTGGAATTAATTTTAAAAAATATTATTTTTTCCTGGTGGATATCGCTTGGAATTGCAAGATAATTTTCAGTAGTACATCTACCTTTACTATATGCCTCGTGTGTCTACAAAACAATTTGAAGTCAGTTTAAAAAGCAAACTTCTTGAAGTTGTGGGCAGTTAAAATATATATTCCGAGGGGATGTTTAAACTATACCCTCTCCCCTCTCTCATAGTATGATGTGTCTACGTAGGCGCTCCGGTTAGGATAAAATCCTAGTTAGCCGAAACATCACTGTGTCCTCATCTTGTCCGCCTGTTGATCGTGGTCCTGCTGCTGCTGCCGTTGCTGTCGCTGAGTTGTGTTACTGCCGCTGCTAGTTGTGTTTTAAGAAGCGCTCTTTTACACGCACTGGTAAGTTGTTAATTTTGTTTGTTCTTTTAAGCTTTATTTTAAAATTGAAGTTTTGAGCGATTTTATTAATAAAAATAAACTTTGAAATAAGTTTGAGAAGAATAGCGCACCGTTTTGCTATCTCAAAAGTTTCAAAACCAACAATAAGTAAAAAAAAGTTATTGATAAAAAAAAATATTACATTTTTTTTTGTAACAAGTGGACATGAATTAGTTAAAAGTTTCTTTTCCAAAATTTTGCATAACATCTTTTTCTGATTTTAAAGAGTTTTCATCCAGAATTAGTAAAAATTTTACTTATACGAAACATGAAGTTGAAAAAAGCTTTCGCTTTCAATAGCTCAACTATTGTAGTGCTTAAAATATTATTGCATTTTGTGACTATGTAGTTCCGAAAATTAATGTTCTTATTCAATAACAATTATTGTTAGTAAATGATGCCAAATATTACTATGGATCTTATGTTTAAATTTCTTAAACTTCTGTCGCTCCTATTCATATAATGCATAAATACATACATATATGCAATAACTTCTACGAAGTCCCAGATTCTGTTTGCTTGATTTTCTGTTCGTCAATATTATTGAATAAATTTAAGTTAAATTTGAAGGAGATATGAATGAATATGAATTTAAAAAAAAAATCAAGATTAATTACTACAAAGGCTATTTTGTCAACGTCTCCATCAGTTCCTCAAACTGAAAATTTTTAGTAAAACTTTGAAAAATACACGAGAATTTTTATTATTTATAGATATAGCAATAATTTCCCATCATAACTTACCATGTTCTCCACATTCAATTACTTCTTACAAAGATGTAATTTAACAATACAATTAAATTTTAATGAATAGGTGACAATCATAACCATGTATAGTAGAATGTAATGAACCATTTGTAAACTTGAGTTACTGTTGTGATGCCTTGCACCTGTAAAATTAATTTATTAATATTTGTTTCGTTGAGAAGAAAATACAAATTTGAGGAATTTACTATTTCTATTAAAACTTTCCAAATTAATAAATCGAACAAGAATCCTTTGGGAAATGAAACAAATTTTTGCACACAGTTTTATATGTATCAGATATTTGGTCACGTTTTTTATTGAATTTATAGATTAGGCCTCGGAAAAAAAATCTTGAACACCTTTTATGGGCAATAAAGATTATTTTTGTAGATGTTTCAACCAATTTCGTTCAATTTTATAAATACATATTTCCAACTTACATTTATTTTCTTTTACTTAATATAATCAAACAAAATTATTAATAAATATGAAATAACATCCATCATGTAATAATTGTGTTAATATAGAAAATAAAGTTTAATTCAAACATCAGCTGCAAAATATCTAATTTAAATATTCAAATATTTAATGAGATTTCATTGAAAATGTGGATTTCCAACCCAATAATTATTATTATCCCTATCTCTACAGTCGTAAAACTATGCAAGACTTCAAGCCATTTTTCAAAAGGATTATCACAAAAATATCAACTTGTTGCTATAATTTTATAGCTGCAAGCGCTTAGAAGGGACGTTATATTGTTTTCATGGTCAGCTCTTAAAACGTTTTGCCAACGCCCAATGTTATTTTTACCCTGAAGTTATTTTTGATGCATTTAAATTTGTAAGTTAAAATTTTAATCATGCATACATTGGACAAAAAAAAGTTTCAGGTATTTACACGTGTGACGCGAGGTGAATTCTATGTTTAAACCATAGAACTGAATTTTCAGTGCTAACGTTATTCCAATTGAAGACAATAGTCTTCTCCATTTGAAACAAAATTAGAGCAAAGTGTATTTGAGATTTAGTTGGCGCAATTAAAACTATAGGAACATAACGTTTCATTATTATTCTTTGTAACATTACAAATGTCACTTCCTTTTTTTAATATAAATAATATTTACATTTTAAATTTTATATAATTTTTTGATTGAATCGGCTTTTACTTGGTGGAAATCCATTATCTAATAAAAGATTTTTTAAGTAAATTTTAATACTTATATATTTCCACAATTGTGGAAATATATAAGTATTAAAATTTACTTAAAAAATCTTTTATTTTATATAATTATTCAGCCATATGGCGGCATTTATTGCCGGATGAATGTATTATCTTATCGGTCAAGCCTTCGAGAGGACACTTTCTTTTATACTATCTTGATCTGTTCGACTCGGTGCTTCGTTACTCTTTAACCTCGTTAATAGTTTTCGAAAGTAGTTATTTTTACATAGCTGGGGGTCGACAGGTTGACAGTTTTTTCTTTCAATACTGTCATGTGAAAGCTATTTATTCTCGAAGAGAAAATTGAGGGACCCCTTTTCCAGTTTCGTTGCTGATCCAACTGGCAGCCATAATTGGTTCCTTTAAAAAAAAAAAGGAAAAAAAAAGTTTCCTTACCGAGTACCGAGTACTGCCATTGGGCATTTCTTTTTTGGAAATAACTTGCCGGAGGCGATCTTCAGTCGATTACCGGAATAAGCATTCCAAAAAGTATGTTGATTTTCCTGTAAATTCAGTGTTTATCCTACCCCACACAACGTGGTAAGTTTTTGATCCATCCAAAAGCGATCTTTATTTGAGGGAATGTTTCTATTATGTTAGGGTCTTTCGTGGAGTTGGTTCCCCTAACCTTTGAAGATACAAATTGGATGTTTTCGAGGCTGCCTTTTTTCTTCCCAGAAAAAAACCTTCATGTGTGTCCATGTTGGGCCACCCTGACAATCCTGCTACTTGCTAGTACACTGTACAAAGTGGTGCAACAGGCAAACCGCCACGAGTTTTTTGAAGGACGATTTGTCAAATCTACTAGTCTCCCCTCGATCCGTCTCTGGAAGGAAGTATCTTACTGAACAAATGAAGCGTATTGGGTAACATTCCATTCCACTACACTTAATTTAAAGTCCCTTTATTTACCTATTTTAAATTATGATTTGCATAATCTAAATATGGAAGACTAAAAAAAAAAAAAAACCTACTTAAAATTCAATTTGATTGATTGTAAAATTATAGTGCTTCATTCTTGACAATGAAGTGGTTGTATTTTCTATTCTTTTCTATTTAATTATTAACATTTTTAATATTTCATTTTTATTACTTGAATTGACTTCTAAATGCCATTTATTGTAGATGTTCCCCTGAAAACCCTGAAATATGTGTAAGTTATCATGTAAAATGGTTGCCGTGGAAAATTGATCAATTTTTTATTACCCTGTCTCATATATTATCATTTTTTTTACTCTCTACTTTTATCCCTGTTCTTCTCATCATAAGGAAAAAAGACGGAAAATGCTCCGAGCTCTCAGTGTTTCAAGACGAACGACGAACGACGAACTCATGGTATGATGGACGGTTGCTGACAGACACTGACAGATCATACTAGATGACGTCACGACCAGTACCAGAGCGTTTTTTTCCGCTGGAAATAATTTGATGTTTCCGCATTTTTAATTCCTTATTGTGGCCGTTTGCGACAAAAAAAAAAATGTTGTTTTCGCTGATATAGGTTTTAATTAATGTCTTCTTATGATTTCTAGTAATATTTTCATGCTTAATAGTATTTTACATTATTAGCCAGGTAAAACAGTTTTTACTGGCGATTGAAGGAAATGACTAGCGAGCCGCCAGGCGAGCTTGTCACCTTCAAGAGCCAGTAAAAACTGCTACCTGGCGTATAATGTACAATAATTTATTTGTTACTCATTTGTAAAAGATATAGGGACAAATAAAAAATCAATACATAACAAAAATTTGAAATTTATATGTTTTTCCTTGATTTTTTCTCACAGAAGTTTTGGTAGTTGGTATAACTATGAGAATGATACGTTGTTAAGACGTTGTTTCTAGTTATAAATAGGTTTTTTGACAGATTTCCATTTTGCAATTTTTTTCCAGAAATGAATTTATTACAAGATATTATTAATGAAGCTGCAGTCGTAGCCAACAGTTTATCACCAGAAAAGTCTCCCAGAAGGTACCTACAAGCAATTATTCTTGTGATAAAACCGATTTCTCAAAAATAAATAATTCTACTGACTTGTAAAAAGTTTTTATTTGTCACTCATTTGTAAAACGTCATTTAACAAGTCAAAACATAAACAACGAAAATTGATTTTTACCAGTTACTGGCTCTACTGACTTGTAAAATTGACAGCTAAACTGTAAAAACTTTTTACAAGTCAGTAGGGTCAGAGAATTATTTATTAAAATTGTATTACCTATATGTATTAATTTTTTATTAATTGTTTAAGATTGTTTACAAATGAGTAACAAATAAATTATTGTACATCATACGCCAGGTATCAGTTTTTACTGGCTCTTGAAGGTGACAAGCTCGCCTGACGGCTCGCTAGTCATTTCCTTCAATCACCAGTAAAAACTGTTTTACCTGGCTAATAATGTAAAATACTATTACAGTTTAGCTGTCAATTTTACAAGTCAGTAGAGCCAGTAGCTCGTAAAAATCAATTTTCGCTGGTTATGTTTTGACTTGATAAGTGACGTTTTACAAATGAGTGACAAATAAATTCTTTTTCAAGTTCCCTATTGACCCACACCTAATTATTTACTGAGCTAAGCTGAGCATATTATGGAGCCATATTTAAATCATTAACAAAAGGGTTTACATCTTATGTAGATTTGTTGGTTTCGTAATTACAAAAAGTCAACCCATTGATCACAATTTCATAATCTCAATTAGGGTAGGTATCGATAAATCCCGATCGAGTTTTCCGGTATTTCAACACCCCGACAAGCAACAAATGCCACTACTATCCAGCCACATCTCTTGAGGGAAAAGAATACGCGTGAGTCGTAAATTTATTCGATATTTTATTGGTGGTAGATTTTCACGTCCCTTAAGTGCTTATAGTGAAGGATATAACGGAATAAACGGAAATAAGGATATTATGATTGATTATATTTTATTATTAGTAACTTTCCGATACCAATTGCATCTTTCTCAGGCTAAAAAATATACACTATCAACAATAAGCA